TCAGCTTGCCCAAGATAAAGATAAAAAGCCATTAAGATAAAAAAAACAAACAAACAAACCACTTTCTCTAGAGTTGTATTGTTTATTTTTATCAAGCTTTTATAATGTTTTTAATCAGTCTAATTCAATTTTGCAGTAGGAAGGGTACCCAAAGATCAGCAGTTCTCTTAAAAGGCTTATATAGTGTTGATTTGTCATATTGTTGGCTTTCCTGATTGTAAATAGTATTTGAATTTAACAGCTAAGGTTTGATTTGCTTAGCAGACCCTGTGTTAAGATTCTGAGATTATAGTAGTGTTAAAGCCAGGTCATAACATGGTTTCAGACAGTGGACCTCCCACAAAAGTTGATTTGCTTTTGTACATGTGGGTCTCAAACTTAATGTTAGCAATACAAACCTGTTCTTCATTCTAAATTTTTATTACTGTGGTTGCTTTGGCACTATGTGTGTCTGCCAAGTCTGAAAGTAGAATGAGTATAAAAATTGACCCCTGCAGACAGTAAGCCAGCATACTCTCTCTCTCTCCCCCTCAGATGTTTTCAGGGGATTAGTTTAGTTGTTTGCTTCTGATGCCACATCTTAGATGGTGTTCCTTGTTTTACATTTAATAGTCCATATCCTTTATGCAATACAACTTAGGAAGGTTTGTGAAAATGCCCAAAAGTGGCCTTGGGTTGGTGGGAAACCAGGACCTGCTGAGACAAAAGAGTGCATCTTGCATGCTGGCATCATCAAGGGTAGTGGCGTTAGGAATGATGAAACAACACCATGAACACGCCCCTCCAAGTAGGATAATTCTCTAGCTTCTGGTGTATAGGCCATTTTCCACTGCTCTATCTTACATCAGGGCCCAGCTCCAGCGTGTATTTGGACCAGGATTGGAGGAGTGTTGGTGTAAAAAATGCCCACAGCACCCCTTTTCACACTTCCATGTCTTCAGAATTCATCAGACTTGGAATTAAGACTATGGAGGGGTGTTACATTTGTAGAGCTAAAAGAACCACAGCACTTTGAAGCACTACAACATGTAGTGTTACAGGTGTGGGCAAATGTGCTGAGCCCCACTGGCTAGACTGCTAAAAAAAAATTCCACAGAAGCTTTCAGCAGCATATTTTTTAGTAAGGGGGCAATAGGGGGTTGCCTAGCCCTGAGGCTCCGTTTCCCTTTGCTGTGGGGATAGAGCAGAGCACTTTACAGACATTTTATGCAGGGCTGCACAATGTAGCGCTCTCTAGAGAGAATTTCCTGTTTCATCCAGTAACATTTCTGTAGCTCTTCAGCTGTTTTGTAGCGGTACAGGTCACATGCATATCTCTCCCCTTGTATCTTTGTAATGCTACAAATGTAATGTCTGTCTATGGCTTGAGACAGTGCAGGAACCAATGGTTTTGTACTATAACAGACTTGTAACTTGAGTATAGGTTGTAGCTATGTTGGTCTAAGGACTTGTAACTTGGAGAACTTGGGTAGTTCAGAGTATCGTTTGTCACTTCTCAGCAAGTGAAACAATGCCCTTCTGATGGTGCTCCACTTTTCTCCTGGCAGTACTTAAACTGAAGGAAGGGAAGGGAATTCTGTTGTATTTTAGTTGTGTTTCTTTACAAGCCCAAACCTGAGGAGAATCTTTCCTTACAACCTACATCAGTTTATAAGAATATTTTTGTTCCCTTTCTGTTCTTGCCAATGGGGAGAAAACAAAATCTTCAACCCATCTTGTTAACCTTTCAAAAAACATGCCTGCCCCAGACTTGTTTTCTTCAACTGGATAGCTTTTTCTCCTTGCATAGTTCCATGACATTGGTAAAATCAGTAACCTGTAAGTTCCCTGTTGCTTTATTGCTTTTTTTTTTTTTCCAATGGAAAAAGCCAGTGTAGGAGTACCCTCAATCTTCAGTGAATCTATGAAATGTGAACCCATAGTTGAACTTTATAAATTATAGTGCGTGGGTGGGGGGGGG